AATACGTTGTAAATACGTCGAATGAACATGTATATGTACTTGTTCTTTCAATGCACGTTTAAAATCAAAATGAAAGAAAAATCTAGTACTGGACTGCCAAAGTCGGGGTGAGCATACCCTTGGTTATAGGCAGTTTGATTAAAACCAGGCTGCGAGAAGGTTAACCCCAGTCACTTACTGACTTTGACCATGCATTTATTTCAAGCACATCAAAAAGAGTACATTCTATCTTTGTGTGTATAATTACATTTTTCTTGGTATTGTATACTGTCTATTACAGAATGATATACTAAGAGTCGAATATCAAAGTAGCTGCGCGATATTTTGTTGGTGAAGTTGCTGTAGCTGTTTTTTTATTTGTATTTCCGACGGCATCATTTGAAAGGGCACTTGCAGGTCGCCTGGCGAGTTGTTCCCTATATATGTTAAATTATACACATTTTAAAACTTTTTTAAATTAAAGAGCTCCGTGTGTGGCACATAACAAGTAGTGTGGCACATAACAGGTATCCAGTAAATGATAACAGAACACGTTGCGTCATTTCCTCTGGTATGCAGTGATTCTTACGGTGTAAAAAAGCGCCAAACTTCGGACTGTTTCCGCCCCCTCGAGTTCAGATGTCGATATTAACCAGTCTACTTTGCCCTCCCTTTCAAGGCTATGCCATCCCGATGTGCCTTTTTAAAATCAACGGATGTAAAGGGCGCTTATGGAAATGCCGTTGGGTGGTTGCTCTCTTATAGGCCTTGCATGCAGGAGAGTCTATAGTTGTTGAGATTTTCACTGAGGAGCTTACCTATCTTTTAATCGTTTCAGGACTGGAGAGGCACCGGCATCCAAAAAACGTTGCACTGTCAGCTAAACGATTTGCCGTGTAACCAGCTACACAACATCAAGTTGTGGCCGGGAGAGATCCTCCAGTAATTAACACGACCCACAATTGCAACAAGAGTAAATACTCTCTTAGGTCTTTTCGTTGCAATACATCCCCAACTGTGATGAACGATGAGCTATGTATCCAGCTATAATTAATACATATACTCCTTCCTTTTGTAGCTCTACGGGGTGAGTAAAAAAACAACAACCAAATGTCGGGACTTTTGTTTTAGTGAAGCTAACCGTGTAGCTCTTTCAAAATCAAGGATATAAAAGCCCAAATCATATGCTTTCTTTTAGTACAAAAATTATTTGAATCACTTGTGTACTTTTTAAGTTACTGAACTTTAAACACAACAACCGTTTTAAAGTTCCGTCCACGGATCACAAAAAAGGTGTGCGTTTGTCAGCAAAACAAAAACAATTCACCCACATCCCTATGTTATTTGATGTCGTTTTGCTGAAAGAACACTTACCCTTTTTTGATACGTGGACAGAACTTTAAAACGAAGGTTTTGTTTAAAACTCCGTTACTTGAAAATTACATAAATGATTCTTGTACTAAAAGAATTTTTTGAATTGTGCTTTCACATCCTAGATTTTGAAAGCGCTACATGCAGAACTTCACTAAAACAATGGTCGCGACATTTGGGTTTCGTTTGTTTTTACTCATCCTTTTTTTTTCTAAGGATCCATGAGGTGTAAAGATCGCAGCAAAAATGAACTGTTTTGCCCAATAAGAAACCTGTTCATTGAGATATAGCCGATTGGGGCGTGTAGAGAGACAGAGCAGGCTGGGCGAAACGAGTCCAAAATTTACATCATCGTTTAATGTCCTTTCGTATGTCAGCGAAACACAAAACCCTACCCAGAGCCTTGATCGAGTTGATATAAGTTTTACTCGCATCATAAATTTAATTTCAGCTATACCTTCAGCCATGTATTGATAAAGGACCTTAAAATATTATCACGTACACAGAGAATACCGGTCTGTTGACATTAACAAATGAGAAGTGCTGTACATTACTGAAAAAAATACATTTGCCCGAAATAATTATACACGCCAACCATCCTGTTTTGCTCTATTTAAGCACAACATTAATGTGACATGCCATAGCATAATGAGGAATAACCCCCACCTTTGACTTTTCACGTTATGTACATCATGTTAAAGCGCAAATCATTGGCTTTCCAATGATACAAAATTTATATCTGTAGCTTTATTTATTCCAAAGATATGCCGCAGGAACTTCAACAGTGTCCCGCCAGATTTCGCTATTCTCATTTCGAGAAAAAAACGCTTTGAAAAAAAGATACGCATTGCGTCGCCAACAGCAGTGAAAAACGTTCTTCAGTTTTTCCACTTTTGCGGGTATTTTTTCCCAACAAAAATGCATTCCGTGAATCTTGGATGTTTTGGCTACTCAACACTACAAAACAATCAATATCGATGTGGACACTATTTTTCTAGTATATTCGACTTCAGCCGTCGATAACTCAAAACAAGGTTTTGGGTGACATTCCTCATTTTGCCTCAGTGGGTCAAAAATAACACAAATCTGCCTTTAATCGATCGTAACTTGTGAAAAAACTACCATGTAATAGTATTCGATGAAATATACATGTCATCGTACAACACCATGTTAAATTGTGGTATGTAGTTTGGTGTGTAATCCACAGTTCAAACAAGGGGTGCATGCTTTAGTATAGGCTTTTAATCAGAAAGTCACTAGATCTTTATATAAAATTAGGTACGAGTGTGTATTTTGCTTTTCTGCCAATCTGTAGATTGCACTGCCCTGCAATTTTAAGACCTTAAGACATCAACGCAGGTTTGAAAAAACGGGTTGATTGTCTAGAATTATTGTGTTATCGACTTCGTGATGCTTGAAATGATCAGAAACAATCATTTTCCCTAAGACGACTTGAACCTTGTATAAATAAGAACTCATTAGAGCTTCAGACATCTTAAATACGTGTCAAGTTTAGTATTCAATCTAATTTATACACTCCTGCATGATTTCTTATCATTTCTCTTACTATATGTTATAAGAAACGATTGTATTAAAACGAACAGAAGTTCGAAGTTAACAATACTCAGAGTGCACAATTATTAATGAAACCTTAAATGCTTTAGTAAAGTTGGACCCATCGTTACCGTGGTTTATTAACATTAATGCTTGTATATGTTATTCATTCATTCATTTAGAAAACTGTGTTTTAATGTTGCCATTGTTCACAATGTGTACAAACTTATATGAACAAAAAGAAATAGATAATTTGTAATTAGAAGAGTACTTTAAACGGAGATCATAAATACTAACGGATACTGCGATACAATCAATACTGCGTACAAACCAACCCGGGCACGCTAACAGTTCTATCACGAAGGCCCCCTTCAATGGCGAGAGCATTGTGCTAGCTATTGATCAGATAATCCGTACGGAACAATTGGTTTGAACAATAGTGAACACAATGGTTTCTCCATTGAAGGAGGTCTTGTGAGTGTACAATAATCACGTGTCAGATTCGTCTATAAAAATGCTGTTCCACCCTACATGTGAAATTCTAACTTCTTGATAGCGCATAATCTGTGGAGTGAAACAATAGGACTCTTCTCCTTTCAGTATTTAATTTCGTAAAATTCGTTGTCAAGATAAAGAGGAAATCTGTTTCATGGAATTTTATCACAGAGATATCAACCAGATAGTATTATTTAAAGTATAGTGCTTTGTTGTGTGTATTTTGAGTGTGGCTGTATTGCATGGTTAATTCTTCAAACATAATTTAGGTACGTGTATTTGGTTTATGTACTACATTACCTTACTATAAAGGACATACACTTAGGACCTTATTGTTCGTATTTTGACTGTTGTTAGTCTGGAGCCTGTAACGTTTTCTTTGAAAATGCAAAATAAAAGTACAGTTTCCAATCATTATTATCTAATACACAGTGTAAGCTTCAATATCAATCTGATTGAACTTAAGACAGTGCTGTATTATAACTGCCAAAAATAAAATTTGTTTAATTCCTCGTTGACTTCTGTGTGAAACTACCTTTTTCTTTCGAAAATCCATTTCCACGGATGTGATGGCGGTATATGATGCTGGATACTCGTACTCGAGTAGGCCTACTACTCGAGTACTTTTTTTAGTACTCGTACTCGCACGCCAAAGTACTCTTACTCGAAATGATGGTATTCGTAGTAGGTCAGCAAAGTACTCGTACTCGACATTTTTCGAAAACGAATCGATCATCAAAGTACTCGTCCTCGAACAGCTGTACTAGGGAATAATTGTATAGCTTGACTCACCACGTATACGGCCTGATTTTGTTATCGATACTTTAAGTTTGAAATGGTTGATCGGCTTGCAGACAAATCAAAGTTTTCTGATTGTTCTGTAGTGCACGTCCGGACAAACACATTTAACAGCTAGCCGTGAGTGAGTCTGTATATCAGTTTGACTTGGCCTGGGCCAATTACGCACAATGAACCATTTGTCGTATGGCCGTATTTGGAAATATAGAAGCACTCGTACTCGTACAACAAATACTGGTACTCGTGTTCGTACTCGAAAGTACAAGTACTCGCACTCGGAGACCTGTACTTGTACTCGCGTGTTCGTACTCGAAAGTACAAGAACTCGCACTCGGAGACCTGTACTTGTACTCGTAAGCACTCGTACTCGTACTCGGTAACCTAAGTACTCGGCAGTACTCGATACTCGAAACAAATTTACTCCACTACACAACTCTGATCCCAACACAATAGACTAGCCAGAGCTCTTAAGGCCCCCCCCCCAAAAAAAAAGTCTCCGGTTTCTGGTAATGGAGCTTGCCCAAAAAGTGGTGGGGCGACGCGGCTTTTTTTCCTTTTTTTTTCTTCAAATGTCGGCTGATGACTGCAAATGGTGCCTGACTAAACTTAGTGCAAATATATGTGAGTCCAGAGAGGCCACATAAAGCTTATTCTCGATCGTAAGCCCATCTGAAAACACGTTAAAATTGTGCAGCAGCAGGATTCCTGTTAAACCAGTGAAATTGGCGGTTTTGAAACATCATCTTTCATTGAAAAAAAGAAGACTTTTTTCATTTTGCCGACGCGCATGGCTACGGCAAACCGGAGACTTTTTTTTTGGCCGAAAGGATAGTGAATAATTATTTTGCTGTTCGACCCCATTTCAGCTTTTACAGAATTGTGCCTTTTCAGATCCAGCTGCAGATCGCGACAGCCCGACCACCTCGTGGAAGAGTTCTGACCGGTCGTTGTTCGCATTCCAGATACCTCTCGTGTTCTTATACGCGACCAGGGCAAGCGCGGCCTGATCAAAGCGATGCGTGTACCGCTGAGGACCTTTCTGGTTTTGCGCTAGCACACTGCCTTTTGGGGCGATGCACGCCATGTTCATCGCACAGTCCACCCAGGGTCCGATTATTTTTGTCCGCACGAGGGCGCTGTTTACAAACAACAGTCGGTTGGCCTCAAAGCACATTGCGTAGCCGGCATCTGCACGGAACTGTTCCCTGTCGATGCCCAGGGCTTTGAACATCTTCGGATGGGTTCTTACCAGCATCTTGTTGGATTTGAACTCCATGATTCGTCTCATGAAGCCTTGTTGCTCCTTGAGCAGAGAGAAGAGGACCAGTGGATCCTGCTGGAAACGTGCTGATGCATCGCACCAAAACATGACACCAAATTCATCCAAGGTCTCCTGTTTGGCGGTGTAAACATAAATATGCACTTGACATTACTTTAGGCCATGCGCTGAACTCAGAACTTAAACTGCATAACATCGTGACCCTCAGTGGCAGAGACAAGGTTTTTGACAGTCACGACCATGGTATAATCTCACCAATTGAGATTGCTAGTCTTCATATTTTATCTTTTTGTCAACCGAGTTTGAACTTTCTGAAGCGCAGTAACACTCATATTAATTCATCGTCATTTAAAAAACAATTATCCAAGTGACAGGAATCAGTGTGCAATATAGCATCAGTAATATTATTTCATCGGGGGTATAAGTCCACCTGCTCGCTGTGGTTTTGTTAAAAGTACAATGCCGTCAGTGCATGATTATTTGATAAACGGTCAAATAGTTCCCGTGTGTTAATAACGCGTACCTTACTTACTTACTTAGTTAGGTTGATGGGAATAGAATAGGCTAAGCCTTTGTGACCCCATATCCTATTTCTTTCCAGTAGGTATCAAGATGGTTCTTAAACAGGTTTGTTGAGGTTGCATTCACCACATGTGATGGGAGGTTGTTCCATTCAGAAATAACTCGGATGGACAAGAAGTTTTTTTCTGCAGTTCAACCCTTTCTTTAATCCTGGTTTTGTAGAGCTTACCTTGTAATACCTCCAATAATCTCTCTGTGTTTACCTAAACGTAAACACTGTCCGAATCAATACGCGGTGAATTTAGCAGTCTATTGGAGTCATTCTTGACAACGTCTTCCACCCACCTGTATGATCAGAGGTTTCCATGCGTATGTGTGGAGATTTCTTACATGCGGCGGGTACTTGGCAAAGTTAAAGCTTCGGAGTTCAACGTTGCAGAGCCGTTTTACCTAGTACGTGTAGTAAGAGAAACAAAACCTTTAAAGGCACGCACGTAACTTCACTTGTTTTGTGAATGTTCTTGTTTGAACAGAACAATGTTCAAAATCCTAAGTAGGGTGCATCACAACACCCTTGGAATATTTAGCTCATCAGCTAAGATATACTACCCCTTTTTCATAAAACAGGAAAAAAACATATGCAAACTCATTGTTTCACGTTACTGAACTTCCGTTTGTAACAAAAGTATAAAAGTGTGTCCTCAGGCACACTTAAAACATAACCCTCAATTATATTCTTCCCTACAATACAGTTTCAGGTGGATATTTTCACAGGGTATTTTGTACCATCCATGTCCTGACCTTCAAGGTTATTCTCATTAAATCGGTACGGTAGGTCCTTTACGGGTTAATGTCAATGTTATAGTACCTTCAGTTGCATTAGCATTGACATTTCACTTGTTCCAATAGGCGTTTATGTTAAGTCATTTCCAGCATGTCTCCATATGACCATTGCTTCTTACCTGTTGGATACCAACTGTATTGAGTCCAAGGTTGTACATTACGATTCTTGTGTTCGGCAGGAATTCCTGCACGCTGGCGATCATTCCCATCGATTCCTTCAAATGATTCTGCGATATCGCATTCACTATTACCGTCCGATTCATGAGTTCTCTTGGATCCGCAGTGACCAAATCTATCATGCGCTCATCGATTCCATCCTCTTCGATTACTCCGTTGCGTCGAACTTGACCAGTATCGATATCTCTGGACTCATTGTCAATGTCTTTGATTAGTTTCCTTTCAACCGTCGAGCTGTTGCGAGGAATGACCCCAGACAATCTGACGTCATCGGGGTCACGAGTTACCTCAGTGGGTACTTGTTTCAGAGATTTCTCCATGTAGTCTGTGAATGAAACAGAAAGTTTGAAATCAATTCATAAAAAATACACCATTTTGCCTAACCCTAATCAGGCCGGGTCATTTTGACCATCTCTCAGCCGGCGGGCGGATTCCCCCCCCCTAAAATCTCAACCATAGAGTGACGAAAAAATTTGAAACTTTGTACATGCATAGAGCAACTCATCATGAACATACCCAGGACATTTCATGACTATAGGTCAAAAGATTTTGGAATTATGGCTAATTATTTATTCATAATTTTTTAATTAAAATTAAAACAATTTAAGGCTATAGCGGACAAAGTTGAGGGGGAGGACGAATTCCGCCCCGGCCCTTTTAGGGTTAAAATATGGTCATTTCGTGTACATCACACCTTGTTTCATGAAGACATGGTACCCGACAATCGCAGCACAGAGGACTATCAACACAGACAATGCGAGTTTCATGTACAGAAGAGTCTGACTGGACATCGCAACATGCCGTAGATGTTAAGCCTTGTAGATTACGTCACCAACAGTATCACAGTTGCTACACCTTGAAAGTGATATGATTGGAGAAAAGAAATTAAGTTATGTACAACCCAGAATTCCCACCGTCTTTCATTTCTTTCAGTATAACATTTACCTCTTATTTTGTGGCGGAGGTGGTAGGCCTAAATGTAGTCCGAAAATTGGGGACTCTCGATATTGTGTATGACTATGTGAGTCCCAAAACTAAACTATTGAAAACATGCAATACGAGAAAATAGACTGGCACATGAAACAACCAGTCCAACAAGTAATGCATCAACCAACGGCAGGCGCGGATCCAGAGGGGATCCCGCTCCGACACCCAACATTCGTTTGCTAGTAATAATGTCCGCCTTGCACGAAATACGCTTGGTTATGGGGTATATGTACATTATTCTGTGATATAGTGTTAATAATCGTCGGATTTCAACAGCGCCCCCATTGAAAGTATGGTATGAGGCCCCCGGCCCCCCAGCTTTTTGATGTTACGGATGCCAAGTGTCTAGAGAAAAAAAAGTGTCTGCATTTTAGATTTCTTGTGCCGATAAAAACCCCACCCTGCGAAAATTCCTCGATCCGCCCCTGAACGGTGTGAAAAAAACAAACATCTGGAACCTAGTCTATTTCTACACATTCTCCCCAGTCATTCCTCAAGACCACTGAGGGGTCAATCTTTTCAAAAAGTTTGACACGTACCTATCTAGTACACGTACCTATCTAGTACTATCTAGTCGAATAGCTTCAAATTAATTTTAAAATAATGCACACAAAAACGCACTGCTCTAAAGCCCCCCCCCCCCACCCGCCCAAAAAAAAGAGAAAAAAACCTGTCTACATTTAAGATTTTTTTGCTGATATGAACCCCCACCCAAAAAAAAATTTCTGGATCCTCCCCTTTTGTGTCAGCTAAAAAATGAGTAATATAATGTTGGCCTGATTAGGTTTTGCATGGTAGTTTTTTCTGCACTCAAGGTGCCGGTCTGTGTTAGAGCATATCTCAGAGCGTGGTCAGATGTATTTTAACATTTTAACATTTAGTAACAATGAATGCACTTACTCATGCCTATCCAAGCAATGTCAACCCATCGCCTTCTGCCTACGCCTTTAACACTATACATGCACATGTCGTCCTCTGGTTGTTAAATCAGAGTAAAACGCATTAGATCGAGCATTGGTTGTTTTTTTAACATGGAGGAATAAACACATACATATTATATTCGTCCATGATTATACTACCGCAAAGAAATGTATTATACCTGTAAAGGGACAAGCACCATGTCTTCAGTCTTCATTGGAAATTCCGTTGTATGTTAACATAATATTAATATTGCTTCAACTTCATTTAGTGGTCACGACAGTCACGCTTCGCAGGCTGTGTTTATGATCTCTTGCGACAACACTGGCCAACAATACAATTGCCAACACTGGCCAACGTATTACGTAACAACATGTAGAGAGACTCAAACATTGAAAATAAAGCGTGGCGTTGCGTCAATATAGACATAACGACGTGGCGACAAATTACAAATATGACCGCCCTCTCAACATGTTTACTTTTCCTGACGAAGTTTTATTTACATTTATTTTTAATGTTATCATAAAATATGTTTTAGTTCAATAATCACGAAAGATCACGAAGGGCCTTTAAAACCTCTGAACATGTCTGACAATACACAGACACGGATAATGGTTTTGAAGTCCGTCCTTTGCATGGAATGGTTCAACAAGCTGTACAGTTCAAGTTCAAGTAAGCAGGAATCACTGAGGCATTGAGATGCCGTGCTTCCCTGCCAGATCGTTCAATCGTTCCTAGATTACTTGCAGTTCCTTCAAATATAGTAGGCAGTGGCATAGCCGGGGCAAATTATTTTTTTCCAAAAACAACATCCACAATACATGGTGGTCTAGCGCCCTCTTGACTTATTATGAGACGTACGCAGGTATTACCATGAATTTCCTGCTCAATCGGTAGAGTCTTGATTTTGTACCGCTGGGGATCCTCGTGGTGTGGGTTCAAATGGGGTTTTTTTTTGTTCTAATCTGAAGCTTTGGAGGATTTTTTTCCTCATGAAGTGGGAATTTCATTACGTTCGAATTCATTTCTTTTTTATCATTCTATTGTTTTTGTCCTGTTTTTAATGTCCAAAATGTCAAAGCGTACACCCTTTGCGGCAGCCGGGGGTGCAGAATGGCAGATTGCCACGGGATGCAGATTTGAAAAGCAAATCGGGACGTTGATAGAAGTAAAATCAGGACGGTGAAGACGTATTAAACGGGACGAAAATTATGTTTTGCAACGGGCAAACAACACCCATTGATACACGCCTGATACCAGGGGAGGCCCTTAATAAAGCGTTTAAGAACCAGCATCGCTTTGGTTACGTTGATTTGAATGCGAAAAAATCAAGATGGCCGAAACATGATAATGGGCTATACATCTAACGGCACCGCTAAATACAGCTGATGCTAGAAATATAAAACGAAGACTAGTAGAGCTAAGTTACCAGTCATTGGGGAAGATAGGTAACCAGTCACTGACTGTCAGTGACTGGTTGCAGACCTTCGCCTTTTCGTAGCCTTGACTGGAACGGGCCACTTTAACAACGTCATTAAACAGTTCCGACCGGTCATTTTGCTCCTTGAACACACCTCTCAGATTCTTGTAGATGATTAGGGCGAGTGCGGCCTGATCAAAACGGTGCGTGTACAGCTTTGGTCCCGCCATGAATTGCCGTATGACGCTCCCATTCGGGGCGATGCAGGCGGGCCTAAGTGCACAGTCCACCCAAGGCTCGATGATGTTCCTTCGCACGAGGGCGCTGTTTACAAACAGCAGGCGGTTGGCCTCGATGCACATGGCGTAGTCGCCGTCCTTCTTGAAGTTTTCCCTGTCTATGCCTAGTGCCTCAAACATCTTAGGGTGAGTACGAATCAGCATGTAATCAGGTTTGTACTGAACGACTCGGCGCATGAAGCCGTGTTGCTCTTTTAGCAATGTGAACAGGACCAGTGGATTTCTCTTGAATCGCGCCGACGCATCGCACCAAAAGACGATGCCAAACTCATTCAACGCTCCCTGCAAATTGTGCAAAAGATATTGAGTTCATTTATGGATATTTCAAACACACTGAGTCTGGGTTTTTTTTGTATGAGAGTATTATATTATCAATGGGTTTGCGTGCATTCCTAGGCAACTGTTGCAGCTTAATAGCTGAGGGAAGGTCATGTCTGTTTACCAATTAAAATGACGGTTATACAGGGTGAGTCCAAAAAAAGCGGAACCCAAACCGCCAAAATTATATTTCATATTTGAAAAAAAATATGTAGCACCAAATATAATCATGACCCGAAAGCCAATGTCATAAGCTACTTTTAGATGAAACAAATTACTGATATTGCTCCAACCGTTCAAAGTATAAGCACAATGACCCCAAAACCTCATCCGTCCAAAATGCAATTTCAATAATCGTCGTCACAATTGTCTGCAAACTTCACCAGCGATAAAACCTTAGTTTCAAAGTTTAACATGTTCAACAAAGTCCTTTTGAAGGACCGTCTTTTAAAAAAGTGGATTTTACAAATCATATTGTTTGTCGAACCACGGTTATTAATAAAGATATTGTGAACTACAGTTGTTGACAGTTGTTCGGACAAGTATTCTGTGTCATTTTCTTTGTTGTTCCAAACAGTCAAAATACACAATAAACTGCTTTTCTTGTTGGACGAAACAGGTTTTAGGGCCATTGCGTTTAAATGGTGATATTCTTTGAACGGATTGAGCAATTTAAGTATTTTTGTCATCTAAAAGTATCTTATGAAATTGGCTTTTCAGCAAATATTATGTTTGGTGCTATGTATTTTTTAAATATGAAATATATTTTTGGGGGGGGTTGGGCTCCGCTTTTATTACTCACCCTGTATCTGGTGTCGGTCTCTGCATGATCTGCGACTTTTCGGTGCTCTGTTATGACCTATAGGTATACGATTCACAAACTGTATAACATTTCTTCTATGTCGCCATTTGAAACTGAATTTGTCTCGCAACCGAACGCCTCGGGCAATGCAGCTTAAATATGCTCGCTGCTTCAGCTCCTATTAAAACTGTATGGTTGTCTTAATGTACTTTCACTGGATTTAACTGCTGTTCTAGGTATTGACGATGGTATTGACCATATGAAACATTTCGAAAACTTCCTGTCGTTTTCATTCTGAGCGTTTGAAAGATTCACCCGAAGGAGACAAATTATAACATTTATTTTAGCCACAATCGACATTGAAAAGAGACTAAAGGAATGAAGGAGCGTGGGCACGTGAAAATCCTCAAGTATTTGTGTCATTTCTTCGGTAAAATTTACCTGAATTATAAGCGGTTTCCACGCGAACTTTAAGAGATTCCTGACGTGCGACGGATACATGCTGAAATCAAACGTTCGAAGTTCTACATTGCAAAGACGTCTCACCTAAAGATAAAAACAAACAAATGGTAGGGCTCATTTTAATGGAACAATGTGTCTTGAAGGTAGTTCAAAGGCACTAAGTAATGGCGGCATGAGTATGACACTTCAGTTAGATAGAACTGGAAGTCAAACGCATAGAACAACACAGGGTTGGTAGTCGGTGGCCTTGTTCGATGTTTTTTGTGGATTTTTGTTTTGTGTAGGTCCGAGACAAAAAAATGACGTCGTGTTTCCCAAACGAGACCCGACGGTATCAAAGGAGGGCGCTCTCTCTACAATGCGTATTCATGATGTCCAGGGCTTTAGAGAATAAGTTATATAACAAGTAATGAATGTGTTTAAATCACCAACGATTGGAAGCTGATTCGTGGACTGGTTTGAAGTAGTCCTGGCTCGGAGGTGATCCGAGTTCGAATCCCAGTGAGCGTTTTTCACTTCTTCTGATTTTACCTTTTAATATTACTAAAGTGCAGCCTGAAGGAAAATTTCTCACCAAACGTAATAGTAGGCCAGCCAAATGTGGAAAAGTTCTCTAGAAAAAAAATTCACGGCATTTTTCGGCAATAGCTTGCATCCATGCTAGATCAATTCTTTGAACCATAACAAACAAGATGTGTGTGGATGCCATCGTTAAGTTTGACCCTTAATGTCTAATTTGCATAAATCGTTAATGCCTACCATGTCATATATCCCCCCCCCCCATATTTGGGTACATTTGTTATGTTGTCTTTAGATATCTTTTACCTTGTCTTTAGATATATTCAAGTATTCTTGCTAAACCTCAGTTTTGATGAGCTTCAAAAGCACCAAGTTGCTTAATGGCGCAGTTACCCTATTAAAACCTTATGGAAAATCATGTGAGGAATAACAACATGGTGATATTAAGCCCAGCGAACAAAACGGGGAAAACGAAGTGTCCGTTAATTGGCCTAATTAGTAAAGGGTTTCCTACTTAATGATATCTGAAGATAAGGTAAATGCGCACAACAAATGGGTATAAAAGTAGCCATTTTGGATCGTTACTATGTCCTCATATGCTTAAGAAAAATGTTATTAAAGTGAGGATATTAGAAGGATGACCAGAATATACTTTTCAAAAAAATAAAAAAATAAAGAATATTATTCAAATATATGAATAAATATATTACACTGCAGAGTTTAATAATTTATGCAAATAAGGTATATTTTGGGTCAAATTAGGGTGGCATCCACCTACATTTTCTTCTCCATTCTTTGACTATTTGATCTGACAGGGTTGCCTGCTATTACCAAAATGTCGTCCACAGTGTAATATTCCACTTTGGCTGGTCCACTACAAAGCTTATCTTCGGTTTGTGGTGTGGAGAACAAGGCATTAGATATGCATGTTCGCAATTCGCAATTCGCTCCCCGCCTAGCTCCCATAAGTAAGCTCACATGTAACTAAATGAATTTCTCCCGTTTGGAAGACCGTATCTCCATGTAACTCCCAGGGTTTGTTTCCATTATAATGACTACGTGCAAAAATCGACATGTTCAGTATTTTTCTTTGAAATTGGAAATTGGAAAAACATGCTTGGGTACGTCCATGTTTTTAAGCTATAACACTGGTGTTTGCATTATATGCTTATCTTTTCAAGCCTCACGAATATTTATATGGTTCTTATCATTAGGCGTATGGTGTGCAGTAAAAATGTGCACTATCGCCTCCTTCACAATTTATTATTAATAAATATCACCCTTTTTCCCCAGCTCCCATTGGTCGGTACCGAGACCCGCGCGAAGTCACGCCGAGTCACGCTAATGAATATGCTAATCATGCGCTTCATCATCACTGTTGCGGCAAAATCGGCTAACCTGAAAAAACACGTTATGTTTTGGTCTCAAAAAGTCCTAGTCCAGTGAGGTTTGCCTTGGAGCTAGTTCAAGGGGTAATTCTAGCGTTTGCTAAAACAGATTGAGCTAAAAATTGGAATGTACGAAGATGATATTAGCGTTCAACTACTCGTGAAATAACGACTGGTGAGGATTCCTAGATATTGAGACAAGTAAAAAAATTTAGGGACCTTTTCGAATGATGTTTGCACGACATTTTAGGTCAGTTTTACCAGTGACTATGGACGTTTGGGCTTCAATAGCAGTGATTAGTTTTGCACTGACATTAAGTTTAAATTTTTTTTCGTTAAAATTTGTTCTGTTAAAATTTAACATTTCAATCATACTGAGCATATTTTCTAAAAAACAGAACGTTGAAAAAACCTTGTTTCGAGGTGCATTGATTTCACTGTTCTGTTTTTAGCGTCGCAATATACGTCATCGGATTAAATATTGCCTAAAAACGCTAGACGCGAAGCCTTTGCAACCACACGGCTAATAATACTCGATGCTGTCCAAGAGCTCGCGAGAAAAACCAACAAGCTTACTCCGGGAAGAACTCGAACCCACGACCTCCTGCTTGCAAAATGCAGACGTCTTACAACTCAACCACCGCGCTTGACGGGTCCGCTGGTTGGTTCGAGTCCCATTATAGCAACGAGTATATACCGCAATCGATTACATTTTGGTATGGAACTAAGTTTGTTTGGGGGCCATTCACTAAAAAAAATGCATAATTTGATTAACATTCTAACCTGTTTAATACCTCTTGGAGTAAGGCCCAGGTCATACATTACGATTCTAGTGTGTGGCAGGAATTCCTGCACGCTGCCGATCATTCCCTTCGATTCCTTCAAATGATTCTGCGATATCGCAGTCACTATCACCATCCGATTCATCAGCTCTTTTGGCTCGGCAGTCTCTAAATCGATCATGGTCCCACCGACTCCGACTACGTCGCTTCTTTCGTGCACTGTTTCTTCTTCAGCGTCGATTTTTGCGATGCCGGTGAAAATTTGTTGGACAGGTTGACGTTCGAATAATGTTCCGTTTCTGGTCATAACATCTGGGGGATTGACGTCATCGTCGAGGTAGCCCAATGCAATCTTCACGTATTCACTGACGCGCCCTGAAGAAAAAAAAACCCTTTTTTATATGCTTGAACAATTTCCACCTTTACCGAGTAGTTGTAACCGATAGTCCTAATGGAAAATTATACTTATAAACCGTTCATTTTCTTAAAACTACGATGTTTGGGGTAGAAAAACCAATTATGACAACCAACCCTTGTTTTCGTGATCGGCATGATCTGAAACCAGTGATCGATGGGGTTGTGCCCCCACCCCCTCCACCACACAACATCCACCCCTTTAAAAAGAAAGAGAGAGCGCGGAGAAAAGGGGAAAACAGAAAAGGGCCGATGCAAATAAAATGTGTGTACATTGCACAATAGAAACTGCCAGCAAGGTGGCAAAAACGCAACTACGCGTGGAGTACATTTTAGCAAGAAAAGCACCCGGCGTCAGATGAGGTCCAACCCTATCCCCCCCCCCCCCCCCCCCGCGCTTTTTTTTTCCAAGACGGGTCTAAAAATACTCGTGAGCCCTCAAATGTTAATGAAGTTTGGGACTTGTAAGTTACTGGTACTTTTGGAGCTGGGCAGTATTAGGCCTGAAGCTGGGACTAGCAAGTTTTAGGGGTGCATGACATTTGGGCAATTGTTATTTTTTGTACTTGTTTACTTCTATTTTATTTGTTTGTATTTATAAGTACTGTGAACTAGATTTGTTTTTTGTCTCGACTTGATGCAATCTGTGATTGCCACATCTTGTCTTTAGAAACAAATAAACCATTTTATATTAATGATATTAATAATAATTACTCTAAATGCTATAATAGGGCGACTTTCCCATAGACTTGTGCACGAACCTAAACTGTCACCTCACCCAAGTATACCTTATTTATCCTTTCTCCACGAAATTAGTTGTTTTTACTAATTGGACCACGAGGAATCGATCTAAATGGTTTGCGACACGAACATTCCTTGTCCTAAGGGTCGTTTTAGCAATAGGGTGACACCAAATTATCGCCCCAATAAGGCGTGTCGTCCTAATCGAGACGCGAATTGAAAAAACTGTCGCTTGTTTGCAGGATTCTGTACATTAAGACAAAAAGGCCTTGCGGGGGGTGGGGGGGTTGCACTACCGGAAACATAATTGTACCGTACGTACCTTGATGAACACCGATGTAGAACACCATTGTTAGGACGCAGATGACGAGTACTGTGGTCATCCTCGCTTTGTTCGTGAACATCATGACTTCGGGTCAACAGACAGAAACTGACTTAACAAAATCCAAGAAAGAAATGAAACAACAACATAAATATCCACAACTCGTCATACATTAGGTGCCATAAAAATGGCGCGGGCACGTGATACGTAAGCGCGGCTCGGGAAAGTTGCCTGTTCATCACTATTTTGTGTTGTTATTGCACCATTCACATTTCCCATGGTAAGTCCGATGAAATAACCATGCAATGCATGGTTTTAAAGAGGTTGTGGAATGCTGAAAGTCGTTTTGTTTTTACATATTTTTTTAATTGTAGAGTAGACCCATATATATCATAATGACAAAGTCCCATTCTTTTGTAATGTGCGTTGATGTTTATAAAACTGAAATTCATCGAGTAATGTGTTGGTCGTCGAGTGCATAATTGAAATCAACAGTCGTCGGGTTCTTCGTAAAATCAGGAAAAATCGTGACGTATAAACAGGACTCGTTTATACTACGCTGCTAGGGAGTCCTGTTTATTACGTCACGATTTACTATGTTTTGTTTGCTGCCCCATCGACGAATTTTACACAAATTGCACATAAAACAGCTCTCAAAAGTACCTTTTGTACTCATTTCATGAGAGACGCAATAGTCGTTTTTATTTCATCACGCCTTAGGCTACATAATACCCGGGAAATGACGGAAATGTCCTCGAGCATTCCACAACCTCTTTAACAAGCAACTTTAACCGAGCCGCACACGTATATCCCGTACGCGTACCGACTACAATGGTCCGTAATAGTTCCTATTATACGAGTGGCACAAAAACCCGTTAACCCGACGGTGCCCTGTGCCACTCTACAATAATTATGAGTTCAAGGATTCTGCCTTGTATTAGCATCCAATTGCATAGCCAGCAGGCTGATTGTGTCCGTTCTATATGCGCACTACTTGCGCTAACTATAGTCCCTTTCACCACTCAATAATTATACATGCAAACATCACAATTAGTTGCATGTAGCCTGTCGCCATGGCTAGCGTCGGCTGATTTATTTTCAGTTCATTAATACAGTTCAAAAATCACAATCATGTGTACATTCAAATTGCTGTATGATACATTGTAATAACAAAAACATTCGATGGAAGCTCTTTTTCAACGATTGAAGTCTTCGTATATAGCTCACTTTCAATAACGCTGCTGTAACTTATATTTTGATTAATGCTGTATTAGTATAGATCTATGATTTCGCTGTATAACTGGCTTTGCCCACGGTGAAAAAACCAGAGATTAAACTCTATGAGGTAAAACTCTGGAAAACCTTGTGGCCTGTCCCTTATACATTGTGTAATTCTTGAATGCATAATTTACTGGTACGTATACATACTCAAAGTGTCTCATCTTCTTTTAAATAAAATATACCATGTATTATGGTCGTTATGACAAAATACCGACCTAGCGCGTGGTGGACGCAGGCTAAAGTGGCCATACCACGGCCACACACGCCCTTTACTCGATTACGTCCTCACTGACATTCTATTTAAATTAACCCTATTCTTCATCCTGATCACTCAAGCATCAAGCTTGTGAGTAAATACAGGCAAATTTTTCCTGCTATACTTCGTACCGCAGGAAAATAAACTTCACTCGTAAAGATGATCCCGTCGCATCAGTTAATTTGCGACGGGACAATAAAAAAAAATACTATTTTTTTACGGGTTCCGCTACATAATAATTCACCGCTGGAAATAAAGCCACAGGAGTGATTCACATTAAATATGAAGTCGTATACCAGCATATCTACAACGTTTTTTTGTGTGTTTTTTTTTTGTATTTATTTATTTATTTAAGATTAATTGTCTTTTTTTTTGTTCATTATTATTTGTTTAAATTTGTTGTTATTTTATATTATACATATATATCTTTTTCTGGGTGGGGGGCGCTTTTCACATGCGACATAATTTGTAGTAGGGCCTAATTATTCTCATAAGTGCTTAAATAATTTCCTGGTTGTGCTTTAGATGGTATTATATACACAATAGTGGCACTCATGCCAAACCCTGTGGTGCATAAATAGACTTTTAATTTAAACCTACATATCTTTAATATTTGAGTTTGAATGGGGGTTACGTGGTTTTTTTCACCTCCACACACATCAATCATTTCGTAACGAGTGTCTTTTTACGACTGCCCTTTTTCACAAGGGCACACGTGAAAAATTTGGACACAAGTGAATAGTTTTTCATGAGCGCCTGCATTAACGGTATATACCTTTCAGCACGGATGAGGTGAGTGCCCTTTTTCACGTGTACGTACCCCACCTCTACCCAATCAAAATGACCTTGCTACGCCACTGTAGTCGAGTATTTCGTTGTGTGTTCAATAAATGGAGATCTAGTTGTACAAGAAACATGAACCACTGAAATGAACCACCCTTGGCCAGCCATTTCTCAAGCTATTTCTCCGGGAAGGATATAGCCTCATATAGATTCTACTGTTCGTTTTCCTCCGTACACTTACACTACTACCTCTGTATCTGTAAACAGGAAATTGTTCCGGTTCATAGCTCCATGATTCAATACAGTTTCTGAACTGTAACAGCATTTTTTTCTGTTACACAGAGCGTGTCCTGTAGTAGAACTAACTTATGGCAAACCATTCAGCCGGCAGCCCCATGAAATTGTCCATAATTTTTCAATGTAAGCTAATGAGCCACTATATACATGTAGTTCTTACCTATTGCCACACGACATGTCACAGAGCCACGCACGTTTCGTGTGCTACTTCATGGCTTTGATCTGTTTGACACAGCCATACAAAATTCTCTTCCTTCAAGTACTTACCAGCTAAGGCGATTGAGTGGTATTGGCACCGACTTACGACCCCGTCAGCATAAAATTCTTTGACCTCTACTGATCCCCGGCTCCGTACTGCAATAATATTGGTGGCGCCCTCGGGAATATGCGAGACACAGGCGTTGAATCGCGAGAGTTGCACCTACCGATTGGTCATAGGCCTACCCACTGCTGCTCTCTATTCCAAAGGCCAAATCCAGAACACGATTTGCTTTTTGGACGTCCAATTGCTTTTTTGTTCCCCGAAAAAGTGGGTCCAAAATTGTTCTGCCCCAAATTGAATATGAAAAGCAAGGGGGCATAATTATGTATTGCTTTTGTTGAGTTTTGTGGGTGGTTTGCGCAGTGGCTGCCCTTTTTTTTGCGACGTCACTAAAAAAAATTTTTTATGGGATTCTCTTTTGTTAGAGGGGGATGGACCCCGTTGCCCCCCCCCCCCCCCGATCAACCGTTGTCTAGTCCTCGAGCTCTGTGTTTGTAGAGTTCCGTTATAACTCAACCTCGTTCCCATGGTGTCAAGCTCCCACCACTACCTCTCACCCTGGTATCAGTGTCACATTACATGTTATATAAGCAAAATGGAAATGGGAGGAGTGCGAGGTGGAGTGCAAGTAAAAATACACAGCCCATCGCCATATTGAAAATGGACGCCTACGCTCCATGCAAAATAGAGCCATTTTAGGACCTAATTTCATCCACTTAACGTCATCACATAAGAGAGCAATGAAGCCCTCGGTTTTGGTGTTAATTTGAAATTAGTCTAATCGTACGCGTTAGGCTGTCTGGCTGAGGACTGTCATGCCATCTCTTAGGGCTTTTGACTTGCGTCTTGTCTTATTTGTTAAAATCGCATGCACGCTAGAGAGCCAAAGGAGACTTCGATCAACGTTGAGCTACACAATTTCTCCTTGGACAAACATCTTTGCAACTTATGCATGGTTTGTTTAACAGACTTATGAATGCATTTTAATGAGTGTAATGGTACAGCCTGCCTTTCATTAGATTTAGAGCTACATATTTCTAGTTTTATCAAACTGTAATTGAAGATCGGACCTCGCGAACTCTCCCATGCCAACGATAACTGACACGTGCATCATAACGAATAAACGCACAAAACAATTGCCTTCGGCATTCTCTGTTTCGTTCCATAAAAAATATATGAGTGCAAGTTACAATATTAAAAATAAGGCAAACGTTTACCCAAAGACAACGGGTTTACACAGAAATTTCTTTTTATTACAACCAGCGATGATAAATATTTGTATATCAAATATTTTAATAACTTCAAATTCATCCGATGGTTTGAACCCAAGGATGGCGGCGCCCCCATATGATAAAAAAGGCATTTAAGTTTAAGGTAAAAGAGATAGGTGAATACGGCAGGTCATTTGCCTATCTTCTTATCAGGATTTGCAACTCCCAAAGTGCATCTTTAAAATTCCCATCTCGTGAAAATTCACGAGGTCCTGAAACTCTTTGAAGCGACTGTGTCGTGTGCCGAAGATGATGTCATTGTGGTAGTGGTACGGTGCGGGGACGCCCTCTAGCGACGTCTCGTAGAACCAGAAGCCAAACACGTCAATCTCCTCGCAGAGTTCGAATGCAGCTGACACTATGTACAGTCCTGTCCACAGAGTCAAAATAACAGAGTTAGATAAATAATTGGAAACAAGGATTGGAAACAAGTCCAAATACAATGTATATCAACTTTCAATGGAACAGTAGGGAGAATTTGAGGAAATGTATTGAGATATTAGTAGTTGACGAATTGAAGACGTATGGATCTGCACCTCTGGCCTGTATTTGGAGCCTTCTGGTTTAAACATTTCGGGTTCAGTTGGGTCCGAAAATGTTGATATTTAGCCATGTTATGGAGGGATCCTTTTTTCAAAATGGCTACTCCTTCAATTTGGGAAATATCATTCGTTTTAGGGGTGGTCTTCTTTGGGTGAGAATTTCTCCAAAAAAGTCATGGGTCAACCCACCAAAAATTGAAAGGAAAATGGAAAACTACATGTTGATTGTTGATCATTATTTTTCTGTGCAGTCTGAACACCTGTTAGAGTTTTGGGTATGTGGATTTATCACTGGTATAATCAATTGATTTACTTGCTGGCACCTCTAAGTGCTACAGTTTACTATCATGCAGTCATCACCGTACCCGTGGATGGCCAGTCGCTTCGTCTGTGAAGCGCCCTCCAGAGTCTCATCATGCCAATGAAATGGCCTGGATTTTGAACAACGGGTTTCATTATTCCTGACGCAAGGCTGACGTTGACAATCCTCTGGACGAACTCGTAGTATCCTCTCTGGCTGAAAGCTGGAACCCACAGCAAGCTGCCCTGAAACTGCCGCTGGAGGGCGTCAAATGCTGCTATGCTTTCCTTTCCAACTAAGGGGTCCTCTCTGGGAATAAAGGAATAAGTGAAAGGAAGAAACACCATTTACAAAGATGTTGGTGATGTTTTTGTTTACATCGTCCCCTTGACGAATAAGAACCAAATTGTAAAGTTTCTGTTTAAACGCGCGTATAGGCATACACTCGACATTATGATAATCCTTTCTGGCTATACATGTCAGCGTCAAACGACAAAAGATCATAATGAAAATAATCACAACTTTAAAACATTTTCAAACTTTTGTTCTGCGCATGCGTATTAAATCTGTCATTTTGTTACAAGTGTCACGTGACGCGCTTCCGATCAATTATGATTTGGAACGAGCGAAATATCCGAAGATCCTGGCCAACTTTTTTTCCGTATCCGAAAACTCTCTGTGCCTACCCCTTGCTGAGTATGGATTGGTTGACAGTGGTGAAATTTGTCTTAGTTCCTACGTCATCCTCATAACCTTTCACTGGGGCAAGATTAAACCTGTTATGGTAAAGGAACAATAAAGAAAGCAACAATTGTTATGTGGAGATTAATTCGTATCAAACGGTAGTATCAAACGGGAGTTCTGTCCAAATAAAATTGATTTTTCTATTATTATTATTTATTTAAAAATGCAACTTAAATTATTGTATTGCACCCGATCCCGCAAGCTCGGTGGGCGAGTGTTCAAGACGTCTGCATTTGGTATAACGCAGGAGGTCGTGGGTTCGAGTCTCACTCGAGAGATTTTTTTCCCCAACTTTCACTCGGGAGGTAACTCACTGATACAGTGTTTATACTTTGGTTAAGGGCAAAACTTAACTTGAATTACATCACATTTCTATGCAAAACTCCATCTTATGAAAAGAATTATACCTAAAAATGAAGTCCGCTTTGTCGATTTCTGCACCACATCCAGAGCCCGATAGTACGCCACTTGAGCCCACGACACTACAGCGCCTATATCGATCATGTGGCTCAAATATTGTTTTCTGTTTAAAGAAGAAATCGTGTCAGGAAACTTGTTTTATAAGACTCAAGAAACAGACTCCAACGATTTGAACTTAACATCTACATAACAAGTGCACCAAGTACCAGAAACGGAAGACAAATCAGAATATTTCCTTTTAAAATATATGGGAGCTTGGTGAGATTTATTTCAATAGTCATAGATCAAACAAGGAGAAAATAAATAATTCTACAGGAAACATTTTTTGTAATTAACCTTGCCCGTTGAAAGAAAAAGTCCCTAAATAAACATAAATTTTGTTTTCCTTTTCCCTTTCAGTAACATTTCAATTAGTGATCAGCATTCGTTGTAACTTGGTTGGCTATCGTAGTTTCTGCACATTTTGGTAGGAGGAAAAATACTCACAACTATCCAAGGTGTTCGAGGCCCCTTATTTTTCACGAATCCTTCAGTTCATGGCCCAAAATATAATGTTCAAATACTTAAGAATTTGAGGACACGCAAATCGTGGTTTGGCCGGCATAGGCAATTTTGGACCGATGTACTGGTCAACAACCATATAGTTTTAATGCATTTTGGATCGGGGACATTTTACGTATTTACTACAGAGGACAGTATTTTAAAGACTTTCTGAGACTCGACTTACATCAGGAAGAAGCTTGTGGAAACTTTCTGTCATCGTTACGGGGTCCCCTAGCTGATAAAATGGCAGTTGGGTTCCAATTGGTGTGTTTTGCTTTGTGAGGTAGAGATCTCTTCTGGCGCTCATCGTGCCTGACGCTGCCAAGATGTCCTTTCTGTTCGTAAGACAAAAACGTGAAATAAACCAAACCGGATCGGACCGGAACAAAAGTGACTTGAATCCAACTAGCTTCAATTGTGTTAAAATCAGCTATTATAAGAAGCACATTATGCAAAGTCAAACATTACTGATATTACATTTCATCCGCGCGGGTACGGGGGCGCTGTGTTTAAGAGGTGGGTTCGCGCCACTGAACTCCACGTGCAAAATCTGGTTAGAACATTGACTGTTTGAAGTGACGTCGCCGTCCGCCATATTGCCATGCCAATAACAAAGTTATTGATATTATTGATATAACAAAAAAAATAGGAAAAATGCATTGAAAAGAAGTTCATACACTTTGGATCTTTTGGATTTATCTATAGACTTGTTCCTTCCAACTTACTGTACCGGCAACCAGCGCAAGGCGATCAGTTAAAGAGCACTCTATGGTCAATGGACTATCAAGATTTTATACGTTGAGATCAAATGTTGGTTGTCGATCTGCCTGGGTTTTTTTGCTGGACTTCAAAAGAGGCGGGAATCGGTTGGATTCTCTCCAGGCAGAATCGCGAGCGCCTCCTTATCATTGCGTACCAGAAAAGCTACTATGATGCTCACATTAGTTTTATATGACGGCACAAAAAGAGGGTGGTATTTGGTTTTGGGAAACTCTTTTACATTTGGAATGAGCCCCATCAAATAATGAGGTCGACGTTGTACATTGGGTCATTTTACTTACATCCCTACCTGAATCTGTCAACATTGGCGTCATCTCTGGACCAAGTTTGATTGATACGTTTCCTCCGAAGAAGCCTCAGGAATTCGTAACCTTTCTTCGGATAATTGGGGGCGTATTTGTTGACAAAGTGCCTGCAATGAAATGAAAGGGACCCACAGTAAATTCGAAACATTAAATGGCATATGATCAGTTGCTTTTTGTGCTCTACAAAATTGACTCGGATTCTATTCTATAAGGGGCCAAACAATTTTCCCGGTCAAATAACACTTTGCCGTGTCAAAACGACCCGGAAAATGAGTCCAAAAAGTGTTATTTCACCTGAAAAAAAATGTCATTTTCCGTGTCATTTTGACTCGAAAAAGTCATATTTTGACACCAAAAAGTGTCAGGTTCCATATGATCCGAATTCCGGACAAACTCTGACCTGGACCTTTTAGAGTGTATGGTATAAAACAGCTAACCTAATGAATTTCAGCGCATGGGATGCTATACATTTTTTTTTTAAATAAAAAAATAAAGAGCCAATGCATGCACATTTTGTTAGTCTTCTGTGTTGATTCCGTTGTTTGCCGTTTCTTATTTTGAAATATAATCTCTCTTGAAAGTATCCGTACATAAACATTCGGGACATCATATCGTTCAGTGTACCCGCGGGCACACTTTTTAATTGTCCATAGGCGGAACCATTTCAAAGGGTATTAAGTTTCAGTCGTTTCTTCATATTTCAAGCAGCAGCATCTCAGTGGTCTTTTTTGTTATATCAATAAGTAACAATGCAACTACCTATAAAATCAATGTCTTAAGTTCTCATGCCTATCTATGCGGAACACAAACACTGTACCAGCGAGATGGCTGTCACGCAAAGGGGCTATTTTTTGCTAGACAGGCATACCTGATGTGGTCTTTCAATGTTAGTGCCGGTTGAGTGACTTTGCCAGGGTTTGTCTTCACCTACAAATTGGGAGAACAAAAGGCATTAGCGGACATCTTTTGTTATTTTAATTCAGTAACAATGGATGCACAAAAGGTTCACTCGTTCACATCTCAGCAAAACAATGGCATTGCCCTCCAAGATGGCTGCTACGCGTATGTTCAAATGGATCATCCTCATCATCCCCATCATCCTCATCATCATCACTATCAGTCGACTGCATGCACAGCAAACGGCCACAAGTTTTCCCCATTCATCTCTGTGTTGTGCAATTCTCCAGATCTCTGAGAGCAGATAATCCTGTGACAATAGTCTGACGATGTACTCTGGGTAAAGAAGGCGCTGATGACCTTGTCTGCATAAGCCATGCGATGTGGGTATATAGAGCATAGATGTTAACTGGCTCGCCAATAGGCTTCCGACGGATGTGACCAACCCATCTGAGTTAAATGGATATTGAAATCTAATTCCTGTAAGCATCTTTACAACATTCTAGATTTTGAAAGATTAGGCCTGCTTAGTTTTGAGCCAGAAACTACGCATTGATCGAACACTCACACAGATATTGATTTATTGCTGTTCAAGTTAATTGCGTAGCTGCTGAAAAAAATAGTTGCCTAAGTCCTACGTTAGGGGTAGGTTATGAAGTGTTTCATGAAATCGGAGATTGAGGAAGACTGTAACTAACTTACCTTTATCGTGGTAAGTGTTGTGCTCACTGGTCCGACTGTAAGGCTTTCAACTGGTTCACTAGTTGAGGTACTGAAAAATGGAAAAGGATTTAACGCATAGATTGTCAGTAAGGTCTATCATGCACATTGTTATTTAATCACACAGGTTAGGATTATCGCTGCCGACGCTACATACGACGGCTTCATCGTTATTGCCTGCACTATTTTGATCAGCAAAATAGCACCTAGCTCACGATCTATATATGCAAAGGGCAGCCACATGATATTATTAGTGCAGTGATTTTCAACCGGATCTAACAAGAGGAGCTGTATTATAAAAAGAGCATACCGAGCTGTTCATTTTGATGTATCACTCAGACACATTCTTCAGGTGTGGGAAAAGATTCGCAGAATGTTCCTATGGATAAATACAAGCATACGACCTGGCTCATGTTGTTGGGCTAAATCAACTTATTGTTTCCCTTATTGCTCGAGATGATGATTCACTCCCTACCACGAGTTATATGTTGTTAAAGTTGAACCCAATTGATCTTACTTCAAAGTGTTTACCTATGATTTCCTCCAACCTCCAAAATTGAAAAGTTCCATTCCCGAGGAGAAGTATTCTGGCAACTTAGGATAAAAAAGGGAATTGAAGTAACTGCCACCAGAAATAAATAGAGCTTGAACTTACAGAGCGTCAACTTTGGTGTCCCTTTCCTTCAGTGATGTCTGACCGAATATTCCACGGTACAGGGCTGCAGTTGACAATACCGTCACACACGCAATCAGGGACAGGAAGTACTTGAATTTCATTCTCATGATCACAACGGATGCCTTGACACTCAAATGCACAAAGGCTGCGTTACATGTGCATATTGTTTTTGTCAAATTTGATCTTTTCTGTACAATATAGGCGGATTTCTAAATTACCAGTCACGCCGAGGCACTCAGAGCTTAGCCACTGTATGACATTGGAGACTTCCTACCAAAAAAAAAAACACTTTAAAGCCCGCGGTGTCTGTATAATGATTCGAAATCAGTTTCTCTTCAGAGTGTGAAAACGTTACATTGCTCCCTCTTCTGCATGCTGCTCGTCAACACGTTCGTTAGTCTATTCTAGCTCATTGTTTTCAATATTTCTGGTTTTTAAGCATCTGTTCGTGCCGTAACACGATCAATCACAGGCATTTATCATTTATTGATTAAACCTCCGTGCTTTATTCATTTACTATGGCTCTTTTCCCATGATTCGTTAATCGATACCCGATGCAGTGTGTTACAACATTTTGTCACGTTGTACTGACGGTAACACAATTTCATAGACTTTGACCGAGTATATCACCTCTTTGTTGTTCACAGTGGCCCTAGCAAGGGGGGGGCCAGCTCGGGGGGGGGGGGGGGGCTAGCTCGGGGGGCTTTAGCCCCCCCCCCTCCAGGTTGAAGTTTTCTCCTTTTTTTTGTATTTTTTTGTCCCACGATTTGACCGTGGTGAAATGTATGTGGCCTATTTTTGAGCAGTATAATAGGGGTGTTAATGGCGCCACCAACGTCAAAATAGTCTCCCCCCCCAAAAAAAAAAAAAAAAATTAGGGTTGTTCACCCTCATTTCATGTATATTTAGGCTTAGCTGAGTTCACATTAGCTGATTTCACATTATTTACAAACAAGTGAAAAAGTAAAAACAAAAGTTAAATGTTTTCAGGCAATGGGATTTTTTTTCTTCAGGGTTTGTTACATTTCTGGATTTATTTTACTATAT